GATGGAGACCCCACCGGCGGTACCGCCAGGAGGCCGATAGAGAGCAGGGAATGGGTAGTGAGTAGGATCTTGCGTGGAGTTGATGGGTGGGGTGGTTCGGGAGCGGCTGGGGGGATCTTAATAATCTCAAGCCCTCCTTCGTCTCACGCTCTTTCCTTCTCTCCCTGGCTTGCCCCTCGCTCTCTCTCTCTCTCTCTATCTCTAGCTCCAAGGGTTATTGTTGAGGATTTCGGGTTTACGGGTTATACGGTATATAGTACGGGATATGATAGTTTATATGGTTCAGGATTTAGGGACAAGCTTCCGCGAGAGACTCGATATATAAGTGTAAAGCCCTTTGCGTGATGCGCTTGTTCATGCAGGTGAAAGAGCCAAGCCCGGAGCCAAAAAGAAGAACAAGCGGGGCAAGAAGGCCAAAAAGGTCAAGAAGACGAAGAGCACCGCCCTCGTGCCGGCGCCCACTGGTGTTGGTAATGATGGACCCCATGCCGTGCCCAGTGGTGTTGGTGATGATGGACCCCATGCCGTGATGGCCGTGAGCGACCCCCAGCAAAACAAACAGCTCAAGCGCAAGGGTGTCCTGGCTAAGATGTATAGTGCCGGGTACGCACGTGAAGCAGTGGCATGTCTCTGTTGTTTGTCGATCGAATGAATCATCAAAGGTGCGTTCATCGAGGCTGAGTTGGGTGATGATGACTACGAATGCGACAGCCCGGTGAGCCCAGAGATCTTGGACAGCTTCGAGGAATGCTACCGAGCCAGCATTAACGTGATTCCCAACAAGCTCAAGCCGGACAGCGCCCACCACGGGAAGCACAGCTACACGAAGAGCCTTGCCGTGCGAGTAAGGAGATGCACAGTTATGCCTAGCTGCAGTTGTCAAAACAATTTACTTTTTGCCGATGTTGCATTCCTGAGGGTTTTCAAAGTTCGTGGCGTGACCCACAGAATCGAGATCCTGTTACGACAACAAGCATTCAAACCGAAGACCAATGGCATCAAGGCTGGTTCGAGCCTGGGGCAGCATTTTGTCTTGTTTGCATGTGGCCAGGTAGATACCCTGATTGAATGTGATATAAGGATCACATGGAAGAACCAACCCATGCGAGAAGCTTTCAAGAAGCTCTTGGACTATCTGAACTCCGAGCGATGAGCGCTTGGACTATGTGAACTCCGGGCTATGAGCGCAGAGATTTTGAGCCTATCAGGCTTTCAAGGTCGGAAAAAAACCGAGCCGTCGAGCTAAGTTTCATGGGCTTTGCGAGTGGCTGCCTGCATCGAGTCACACAAGTCAGCCAGGATTTGTATAATGCTTGTTGACTGGCCAACCAAGAAACTTGATGGTTTCGAGAATGTGCTTCTATTTGATGATCCTCTCGGAGCTCCACCTCCCATGGTTCGTGGAGCAGCCTTCCTTGTCACTTATGGAGACCCACCCGATGTTTGTGTACTTGTGCCGTCGATTTGCAGTTTACAAGGCATCTGGGCTACATTAGCAGACCCGTGATGGATGATGGGTGATCGTAGCGGTTGTGGCGCTGGTGGTATGGAAGATATGTTCGTGTTGGTTTCGACCTAGACACATAATTGGCTGCGCAAGTTGTCTGGAGCTTTAGTACAGTGTATAAAAACATAGGTCAGAAAGAAAAAGTGTTGAAACTCAGACACAACACTGCTGTCCAGCTGGGGCCAGCATTTGTTTTCGGAGCATTTGAAGCCCTCGCAGTCGTCTGAGGTACACATCTGGTTGGGATCGTATGGGCACGAGAGCCCCTTGGCGTCTTGAATTGTTATGCTGCATATCCGATGACTTGCTACCGTTAATTGATACAGTTTCAAAAAGCTACTTGCTTGAAGGCCAGAAGCCGGTCTGGATCTACAGCAACTACAAGTTCGTTGAGGAGCTCTACCTTCCGCTGCCCAACAATGTGGAATGGGTGCCGACTGTTACAAGGCATCCAGCGCGAGATAGTACACGACAACATATGTAAACGACAGTGTGCACAGCATGAACACAAGGATGATTGTTGTGTCTCGGGTGTAAACCTAAAGCTCCCAGCCAAGGACGACCGATGCTTCTGGCACGGAGAAGGTCACAGGTGGCCCGACATTAAAACAGAGCCAGACCTACCCGAAGCGCTTTGGACGTGCCGTCTACGATATGTTTCATCGACACGAGGATATGCATGTAGCCTGCAAACACGTCTGATTTAATTATGTCAAGTTCATGCATTCAAACACATTTTGCTCCAGGACGAAATCAAATCTTCGGTTGCCGCCCGGGAGTACTTTGGAAGCATATGTCACATTATGTGTACAGCTCTGTGTGCCCGGTTGATCCTGCTCATGTATCTGAACCAAGGAAAGACCTCAGAGGACACCCGCGATCTCAGATGCGTGACACTGGTCTGCATGGTCTGAGTCTTCATAGAAGCAGAAACATATAACTACATCAGTATATAGACAGACACAGTTGCAGACCCTCACAAAACACTCTACTATGAGTTTAGCGGGCTACTTGCTAGTATGCGAGAGATGTAGAATGTAGATGCCACATTAATGCGGATCATGGTCGAAAGGCAATATAGGCAAACAGAAATAAACAGCATTACAGGCACGAAGATAGATAGGCAGATAATTAAATGGAGATAGGGAGGCCTTCGGGGGGCCGTTGATAGATCCGCAGGTGTATCATTGAAGATATTTAGGCGTGGCCGTGTGTTGGTGTACGGCAACAATAAGTTCGGGTTACAGATCTTGGTCTTCAGGCTACAGCAAGTGAGTTGTGTATGCACGTGGGAATATAGGTTTGTCCACGGATGCACAAAAAACACAAGCACATATAAATATATACACACACATATACATATAAGAATATCTATATGCACACATACATATGTATTTGATACACACATGCACAGTGATGCTGATAAGGAGGATCGATCAAAGTAAGATCTGCTGCTTTCAATGGTTTACCGAAGGATCGGATCATGGGGTCTCTATAGCTGAACTGAGTCTATCATGTTTTGTGCTTATCGCTTCCTCGTGGCCATATAAGGTAGCTGAGCCAGGGTTTATGGATTTATTCTGCCGGGGCTTATCGGGTTCATCGGCTACTATACTGTGTATGGATCTTATGGATATTTGTATGTATATAATATGTACCGCACGCATCTGAGGATCCTGGATGGGCCCGGGCTGCCAATCTGAGACAAGCTGTTATAGCTTTGGCTGTGTGATCTGGAGGTGATATGTAGGTATGTAAATACAGAAACATCAACAAATCTGTGTATTTGCATACGTACTAGGATTCTAGCCTTCAAGTGGATGATGCCTGTGGCCTGCTACTATATTATAAATCTATGTATGTGCTAGCTAGCTACATATCTATATGGAACTCTTTTCGGAAGACCCAATAAACTCCAACTTAGGTTCTAAGTACTAATTCCAATCAACTAGCTGTAATCCAATAAACCAATAAATTACCTGGGCTCTCATAAACTACTTAGAATCCAATAAACCGATACATTACCTAAATTCGGATAAATTACTTAAATTCCACTAAACTATACGTAGTACTAAAGTATCCAAATTCCAATAAATTCGCAGGCTCTCCTGAAGTTTATCGGCCTATCGGGGGTGCTTCTGTGGGTCTCGTCGTGTTTGTCTGCTTCTCGTGGGTGTCTGGTGGGGTTGGTGTTCTTTTGGGCAGTTTTTCGCTGGTCCTGAAAATTTGGGGTGTGGTTTTCCAGGTTTTTGCCAACAACCAGACAACCCGATAAACCGATAAAAATCCGATAAAAACCCGATAAACGCCGATAAACCTTATCGGTTTATCGGGTTGTCAGTTTGGGTCGGGATCTGCTCAAAAAAAAACAAAAAACAAACCATGACCACAAAAAAAAACAAAAAAACGAACGACATGAAACCAATAAATCCCGATAAGCTGATAAATTTCAACAAATTTCCAATAATAAATTCCCTACAATCCAATAAACCAATAAATTACTTGGATTCCAATAAACTAACTGTAATCCAATAAACCAATACATTACCTAAATTCCGATAAATGATCTAAATTCCAATAAATGATCTAATTTCCGGTAAATTATCTACATTCCAATAAACTACCTAAGTTAATATTCTACCTAAATCCCTATACTGCTTCAGTACTACCTAAACAATAGGTTATAGTTTAAGATATATAGACTGCAGCAATGATATCGAATCCAGATCGAGACGTACGGCCTCAAGCTGCATATGGCCGGTAGCTAGCTGGCTATTAATTGACAGAATCGATGCTTTATCGAAGCGAAAAACTTGGAGGCTGGTTTCAGTTTCCAGTTTGATTGTGCTGATGCATGCAATCAGTACACGTACGGCTGCATGATCCAATGTATCCTGTTGCGAAGCATTTGTGATTTAAGGCCTGCGCTATAGCTTTTGCTGTGCTGTACATGAAGCCCAAGCGCCGTTGCATGACGAAAACATCGGCAGCAGTGGCAGCGAAGACCCCGCCCCGTCCCAAGAAAGTCTCGGCACAGAAGCTGAAGAAGGAAAAATCCCGACAGGACGCCAAGCGAAAGGCGGCAGTGAGTACAGAGACCCCAAGGAAGCCGACCCCTTTGTTGAAGAAGAAGAAGAACAAGAACAACACAGAAGAAGAACCCAATGGTGAAAGCCCCAGCCCCCATGTGTCCTTTAAGGAGCCGGAGATTTTGCAGACGACCCCACCCAGGACGACCCGACCCCGCAAGGAGGAGACCCTGAACTCACCCCGGATGTCTTTGGATAAAGCCAAAGACATCCTCGACGAGATGTGTCCGGGCGAGGAGGCTCCAGAAAGTTCTTCGGAGGCCTTAAGATAACACACAGACGAATGCAAGTTCATGTGCTTGTGCAAGTACGTATTTACATGTGTACGTATGTATGTACGTGCGTGTGTGTGTGTGTGTGTGCATTGTGCATATTTTTTTCCATTTGTGTGAGCTCTTGCGCAGGGGGCAGAGGCAAGCGAAGAGGATCCGGATGAGGAGAACTCGAGTGCTGATGAAAAGGGTTCGGGCGAATCCGAAGCCAGTGGAAACGAAGACGATGGCGACGACGGCAGTGACGGCAGTGAGGAGGCCTCCGCGGAGGAGGAGGAGGAGGATGAGGACGAGGGTCAAGACGACTCTGCTGCAGGTTCAGAAGAGGAGCCCCAGGATTCCTCTGAGGAGTTGAGCTCAGAAGGGGAATGCGAAGAAGACTCAGGTGATGCTGGCAGCAGTGACGAAGAGCCGGCCCCGCCGGTGAAGCCCGTGAAGGCATCTAAGAAGCCGAAGAAGGATGATGAGGGGAAGAAGGAAAGCAAAAAGGACAAAGGGAAGGAGAAGCGAGGCCGGGAGGAGGAAAAGGTTCCCAGGGAGAAAAAGCAGAAGCGAAGCAGCCCGAAGAGAGAAGATTCAAAGGGTTCCGATGCCCGGTCAAAGGCATTGAAGAAGCAGAAGCTAAGCAGCCCGGAGAGAGAAGTTTCAAAGGGTTCCGGTGGTAAAAGGAACAAAGCGACAAAGGACAAGAACGACAAGGCCGGGTCTGTGAAGGCTTTGCACAAGGCTGAGAGCAAGCTAAAGAAGATCAACTCGAATACCCATCATACCGAATGGCTGCGCTTTAAGAGATGGACAAATAACCGCAAAAGATTCCCTGGATGCCTCGCAGAGCGAATCACGGACGAAGAGGGCCGCAAGGCACTCTTTGTGGACTACGTCGAGTCCAAGGGGAATGAAGCTGAGATCCTGCTGAGGCATCAAGAGCAGCTCAGAGATATTTCGCGGAGCCAGATCCGCTACGGTTTTCGTGGGGAGAAATGGGTCCGCGACACGCATGGAGATGTCAAGGGCGAGAAGATCATGAAGCGCAAACTTGAGCAGGGGCTGAAACCTGACTATATGATGGAGCGAGAGTGGAGCGGGATAGCGAGAGAAAGAGAGTGATGGAAATCGACACANNAGAGAGAGAGAGAGTGCGTGTGTGTGCATAAGTGCTGACGACTCGCTGTGAGCTTGCGTGTGTGGACGTGCTTCGGGCTAGGTCTAGGTTATTCAACTCATCAAGTGTCTCCGTGGCTGTTTGTGTGTGTGTG